AGGAAGAAGAAGAAGAAGAAGAAGAAGAAGAAGAAGAAGAAGAAGAAGAAGAAGAAGAAGAAGAAGAAGAAAGCAATGTTCTCTACATTTGCAGTTTATGAAGCTGATCTCTTCTGTCCGAGTTGCCCCTGGGAGCCCATGTCCTTGCAGAAAGTATCTTTGCTGGCTGCTTCTGGCAATTATGAAAGGGGGGGCATTTTTTGGTCTATCTCCCACCTCAGGGAAATGGGCATGGGGGCTGGAATGGTTGCTATTCACAAGGGACACTCAGATTTCCCACCAGGAGGAAGAAGTGGGCAAGAAGACAGGGATAGGGCTGGGAGGAAACCCTGGTAGCCCCCAAATAACTAATGCCCCCAAAGAATAGGTTGTCAAATGCCTGGGTGAGTCCTGCAACATGATGCTCTAAAGCAGTGGTTCTCAACCTTCCTGATGCTTCTACCCTTTAATACAGTTCCTCATGTTGAGGAGACCCCCCACCAAAATACTATTTCATTGCTACTTTATAACTGTAATTTTGCTACTGTAATGAGTCATAATGTAAATATCTGATATGCAGGATATCTGATATGTGACCCCTGTGAAAGGGTCATTCAGCCCCCAAAGGGGTCACGACCTCTAAGTTGAGAATTGCTGTGCTGGGGAAAGCAGAAATGCCAGTTATGGAAATTAAGGTTGTTTACTTGCAGGTCAAAAGTTAACCAGATTCTGGAACAAAATCTTGAACCAAGAAGTTTAAGAAGAACTCATGACTCACTGAAAAATAGAGACCTGAATTAGAAGCTCGAATTTAGCTTCTTAGGGAATAGAAGTTATTATTGTTAAATTACTCATCAACCAAATGGCTAAAAACACAAAGTTAACTTTTATTAAACACTTGCTATATATCTGGGTAACGCTTTTGCATATCATGTTAATAATATCCCTATTTTATAGAGAAAAAACAAAAAAAAAGAACCAAAGAGTTGCTTTAACTGAAGTCACACAGTAGGTGGTAAATACATAAAAATAAAGCCTGAAACTGTTCATCTCTGGGGTTGACAAGATGGCTCAAGATGAGATGCTCCCTGCATCCTTGCATGGTCCACGCTGCCTATCTGGGTTACGTCTCTGAGTTAACGCTGCTTATGACTGAATCACTGAAGTGGAAATATCACAAAAGCAATGCAGGTTAGGGTCGTGGTTAAAAGTTCAGCTTCAGAAGCCAGAATGACGGGGTTTAAATCTTGCCAGCTGTGTGACATTAGGCAGCTCATGTCACCTCATGGGTCTTCACCTATCAAATGGGACTTAGCGATGACAGTCATCCAACAGGGCTTCTGGACAATTCAACATGAAATATATGAATAGTATTCGGAACAGGCCATGATGAATAGCAATGACTCTAAAGGGTAGCAGCAATGCTTTTAACTACTAGGTCATCAATGAGGCATGCACATTTTAATATAGAAAGTATACGGTATGTACATGTTGGCGCTGAAGGCACCACTTTCCACACTCTGGCCTGCTCTTTCTCTGTCTGGATGCCCTACAAAGACAGACACTCAGGGATGGGGCTACTGCTTCATCTGCAATTGACATGCTTTTGGGCTGCTTGGTGCAACTGAATTGTCAAAAAAATAACATCAGAAAGGCTTCCCTTGAAGCCCAGGTCTCCCCCACATCTCGTGTGATGGAGGAGAGCATCCTGGAACTTCAGTAGCTTTCTCCCTGATGCTCAAGGGAAAGAAATCTAGAAAGTTCACCATGTTCACGACTCTGTAGTGAGCCAAGATTGAACTCTCAGTGGGGAGATAAATGGCGTGGACAGTTGGACAAATGGAAATCAGATCACTGTGGCCATCCCTCACCATGCTGGCCTCCCAGGAGCTCTACAGGTAAAACAAGAGGCTGACTTGTTAGCCTGAACTAAAAATAAAAATGTGGCTGTCCCCTAGACTTGCAATTTTACAGATTTCAATAAAGTCACCATGCTTCCTTTTTTTTTTCCCCATTGCTTTGCCCTTTGGGGGGGGGGGCAGGGATTGCTTTAGAGTGAGGCTTTGAGGAAGGGTGGAAAATATAAACCACCAAACATCTTTCATGAGCTCTAACTGCATTGTCTGCACCTTTCATCTTGAAGCCCCATAGGTCCTGTCTTCCACTGAGATCTCAAGGGTCAGCGGGATAGACGGACATGAACCCAGTGTAGGAAGTGTTCCTGGCTCTGTGAAAGGGTGTCCCTAAAGGGAATGAGCAGCTGCTAGCCTCCAAGAGCTCTAGGCTTCTTTCACTAATCCCTCTTCTTCTTCTTAGTCCCTCTGTGAGCATTAAGGTGAGCCAGCAAGGGCCTGCGGATGACTGACAGTATCTAAGACACTCCAGATACCTTCTTTGGACAGCTCAGCGTTTTCCCCCTTGCCGTGTGATTTACAGGGTGGCTGAGCGCTGCTCCAACATGTCTGAGGCTTAGCTCCCCCAGTGTGATGGCCGGATCTTCACTCATCACACTGGTTGTGGAAACAATTCATTCTACTGATATTGCCCAAGTACCTTCTAGGTAGTATTCTAGCCCCAGGGACACAGCGTTATAAAAATAAATCAACAGACACCCTATTTGTAGGAACCTGTGTTCTGATAGGGAGGACTAGGGATAAACAGAAGAAGGTTACTTACAGTAAGTTATTTGCTTAAAAGTTTACTTAGATGCTGAGTTGCGGGATGAGTATGCTGGTGGCTATTTTGTGCTTATTTCTCTTGCATTTGTTTGCCAGTAATCCTGCCCCCCTTTATCCCTTTCATCTATTGATGCCCTCACCTCTAGGAACAGAAAGGGGGTGAGCCTGTCATAGTACTCCATGCCACCCCTGATCATAATGACTAGTGTAGGAACAGGACAGCCATTCCTTGGAATTACACCTCTGGGGCTAGAGGAAATACTTTCCTAGCTTTCATGGAAACAACTGGGAGCTTCTTCCCTGAGTCACATCCCTTTATGAGGGTTGACTGGCTTTTGGGAAGGAGAAGGAATCCCAGGAGGGATGGGGATGCTGAGTGAAGGGCATGGAGAAATAAGCTGCACGGCTCACAACCGTGAAGCCCACATCCACTGCAGGGTTCCTGTAGCAAGTCCCTCTGTCTATCTTGGACACCCCTTCCTTCCACAAGTCTTTCCTGATATGTTTATGCTCATGGTGGCACACTACTGAGCATGCAGGACTCTATGTTAAAGGCTTTCTACATATTAAGTATAGAATAAATATCCTACAGTTACTGATTCTGTGCCTATTTTTCACTAGAAAAATGAATATTAAAATTGTCTAATTAGTCCCCCTTTGAGAAAAACAGAAATTTAATTTCAAATTTATTTCAGCCTGTGTACAGAGGAACCCATGAAATCTGTCTACTTCTTGTCTAGTAAGATTTTTTTTTTTATAATCTGAAGTAAGGCCTTTTTCTTTTTCCTAGTCTTTAGTTGCAGACGGGTATGAATATGCGACCAACTTCAAGTTAATGAGATGTGATCTGGAAGCTACAGACTAGGTGCATTTAAGAGACTTTGGTTAACAACGTTCTTAAGTGTGGTAAATCCGATATCAAGGTACCGGCACAAGGAAGTCTTTATGACAGAAGCCGTTCGCTACCTAGAGTACGCATGCGCACTGGAGAGGTTGCCTCGGTAGCACAGTCGGGATAGAAAACCCGCTTTAGAGATAGCAAATCCGCTCTGGCGACCATAGCATCAGTCCATTTGTGAGAGTGTACTTCCCCGTGGCCAAACAGCCTTGAGAGCACACCTCCTGTTACCACCATAGCAGTTAAGGTCCCTGTGAATTTTATAGGCAGCAATCAAAGCACAGCAGGACGCAGCAGTGATAAATTTTCAAAACATGTGCTCAAAAGATAGGCCGCTTCCTGTTCCTCTTTCCTCCTTCCTTCTATCTTGAAAGGCACATGACACCTGGAAAAGTCTGAGCAGCTAGCTTGAGGCCCCAGGGAGAAGCCATGGGTTAAGAACAGGGACACGTGAGATAAGATAAAAACGTCTGGGCTTTCTGGCATGGCCTAGATGGAGACCTCCTGCACCAGCTCTGGACTGCTAGTTCATATCTAAATCTCACTTATATGAGAAGAAAGAAAATACTCCTTTTATAGCTGTATTCCTTCCAGCTTTTAGTTTGAGTTTTTGCAGTCTGCAATCGAACTCAGTCATAAGTGAGACCATAATAGAATACCCACCATACAAAAAATATTGCCAGTATTTGGGTAGTCCAGAATCTGCTAGGTCATCTTTTCTCTAACACAGCAATGACATAGGAGGACCACGGGTGTTCCCAGCTGTGAAGAGCCATGCTTTGCCCAACACTGCTAACCATTGAATCATGTCCCGTGATACTGTCCACATTCACTCTAAAGAGAAGCAGCTGTTAACACCAGGACTCTTCAAGGCCACTGACGGTATTGTCTCAATAAGATGGGAACCTAGCTGAGCAGACTAGGTTTATCAGCAGAATTATGAGATTTAAATAAGGTTTCAGCAGACGGCCCGTGTAGTAGTGCCCTTGTACATGTCAATATAGAAGCAACCATTTACATTCCCAACTCCAAGCCGGAAAAGACACTCTGAATAGTTAGACAAAAGAAAGCTTACAGAGCAGTAGAGACGTCAGGAAAAGACACAGCAGCATGTTGTGCTTACTGTATGGATATATGTGTTTCATATGCCATCATAAGCACATTTTTTCCGGTGGTAGGGATCAAACCGAGGGCCTGATGCACCCAGGCAAGCGGTCTACACTGAGCCACACTTCCAGCCTTGCTTTGTATAGATACATGAGCCGCCTGGCTATGGGTAAATACAGAGACTATTAGCTTTAAGGCAATGGTCCTCAACGTGTCTAACGCTGCAACCCTTTAACAGAGCTGCTCACGTTGTGGTGACCCCCCCCCAACCATAAAATTATTTCCACTGCTACGTCATAGCTATAGTTTTGTTATTGTTGTGAAACATAATGTGAATATCTGACATGCAGCCTCTGTGAGGGGGGTTACACTCACAGCCTGAGAGGCATTAACCTAAGGAAAAGAGAGTGATTTATTAGAAAGTTGGAACTAATTCTTGCTTTCAAAATTACAAGTCATGAAGTTCTGCATATCCTGCAAACACTTACTGCATCTCTCTGTCTCCATCTCCTTATGTCTCTCTGTCTCTCTCTCTGACTGTAAGTGTGTGTGTGTGTGTGTGTTGTGTGTGTGTGTCTGTTATTTGAGCATATATACATGTGGAGGTTTGGAGACAACTTATGGGAGTCAGTTCTCTCCTTCTACAACGTGGGTCTCAGGGGTGGAACAAAGGTCATAAGGCCTGGTGGCAGCATCTTTACCCACTGAGCCATCTTGATGGCCCTCGGAATATCTTTCAATGAGTCTTGTTAGTGGACTCATTCTGTGTAGTAGAAAAGCAAGGAATAGCTGGCCTCAATTATTTGTGCTCTAAGATGGCCTTGAGCAAAATATATGGATGTCAACTGCAAGTAAGCCTTCCTGCTCACCAAGGCTGCTTGGCTGGGATTCTCCTGTGCCATCCTATGAACTAATATTTTGTATGAGTTAACTATACTGCTGAGTCTTTAAAAGACAAGTACATACAAAGCATCCCACTATTTCTTTAACTGTTACCTTCCAACAATCTTTCCCACAAGCAAACAAACCAAGTTTTTAATGATATGCAAATACTTCGTCAAGTAAACACACACCAAGCTTTAAAACCATTTTCTTAGTTTCCAGATCACTCAGATACAATGGTCAGGAGACGCACACAGTAGAAGGGGTACTTCTAACATCTCGGATACTGTCCAGAGTGGGAGCTGAGGCAAGGATATGGCTGGCATCACCTTACTCACACCAAGGTCCTAACAGACAAGCATGCCGACCTTTGGCTGAAAGTGCAGAGCAACTGTTTGCCTTTGTATGACACCGCATTGTTTAATTCAAGCATCACCTCCTGAGACGCACAAGCCCTGAGCTCCATGCTGTGCCAAGCCATGAACCAAGATACTGAACTCTCTTTTTTGAAATTACTGCAGGAGCCAGCTCAGATCTTCCGGTCACTTATACAAGAGTATAAGATGCAGACCTTGGAGTGCTATGAAAGTCAGGAGGCCAAGATGCTCTGGGTAAGACAAATGGCTCTTTTCTTGAGCACATCTTGGGTCAATACAGTTCCCCCATGTAAAATTATAATCATTGTCATTTTATTAAAGACTTTAAAAAAGTTCTACATGTATGAATGTTTTCTCTGTATATATGCCTGTAAGAGTCAGAAGAAGGCATCATCTCCCTTGAGACTAGAGTTACTGATGGCTATGAACTGCCAGAAGGGTGCTGAGAATTGAACCCAGGTCCTCGAGAAGAATATCAAGTGCTCTTCCCCATTGAGTCACATCTTAAAACCACTTTGTCCAGCACTCAGGGGATGAGGAAGGAAAGTCAAGTTACCTTTCGCATCTGAGCCAACAGCCCTTCAAACTCCTTCAGGTTCAGTGTGGTTCCACTGTAGGAGGCGCAGCTGTTTGCAGCTTTCCCCAGCCAGTAAATGGTCACTAACACCTATGGAACAAAAGAACGAATAAGAGTGAGAAGATTTGTCCTGGAGAATGGTTTTTCAACGTGAGGATCAGTATCGCCTCAGGAACAGCAAAGCAGGAAGGGACAACTCAGCAACTTGTGAAAACCAGTGCATGCTGCATCCATTCATTTGAGAGCGTGATAATGAGAAACCAATGCTGTCTCAGTTGACCCAGAGACACAATTCAGTCAAACAAGTCTCTAGCTCTAGGGGATAAAAAGGGGAGGTTGTGAGAAAGTGATCTCTGAGTGAGTAAGAAGGGAAAATAAATCCTCCAAGATGACATTCTCGTCAGGCAGAGGGTTTTCCCACAAACTCTTTCGAGTCTTTACCCAGACAAGCAATGCAGGAGCCTGTCAGCTCCATTTGAGATGGGTGCTTTCGAAGCCCCTTAATTTCCACTTGTCCATGCACACAGAACCTGCCGGAATGGATGCCAATTATCCTAAAGGAGTGTAAAGGTTAATGAGTAATTCTAGGCACAGGATCAACACAGTACATCGAAGTGAAGCCAGAAGACAGCAACACACAGAGAGTGAGACATGCTGGTCTCTCGCCTCAGAGTGCTGCCACATACCCATTAATCTGACATAGAGAAATTTTAGCCTTGCCACAGTTGCTATCAACTAAACACACTTAGATGCTGAAGAATGTTTATGAATATCCAATGGTCTGAGGTTACTATCCTACATTAGTTTTGTGCTTTCTTTCCAAAGAATTGTCCACAAAAGCATAAATGTTCTTTACTTTGACTTGGGGAAAAGGTATCAGATCGGCTAACGATGTGTTCCTTAGCAGAATTATAGGAAGATATAGGATTAGAAGCCCGTGCAAGAGCTTAGACTTCGTGTCCACATTCTGTATTTTTGCTGCATCTCTGCTGGGGAGAACTTATTGTACTACCTTTCCCATGGTGGGCCAGATGCTCTGGATAATGCAGTGTAGGGATACGGGGCCAGCTGGCCATGGGCCCAAAGCAGAGCCGTGTGCATGAGTATTATGATGGGATTCAGTTTTCCACCTCTGTGGGAAACTCTTGCATCATGAATCCTTCAAAACTTCCAGAAGGTCTTTTAGTGACTGAGTTCTTACAAATAAATTCCCAGAGAACAGACAATGCCGAATGTCAGGTCGTTAACTAGAACCATCACATAACCAATGTGTGCTGACTGCTATCCCATCCAGACCACAAACGGAAACGGCTAAGGTTAGTGTTGAAACCAATCGCTGTGTGTCTTAAGAACACGAACTGCACACAGAACACACGCCTTCATTTACTTTCAGGAATGAAATCTGATTAGAGAGGAAACCCGCAAATCTCCTATTTTTAGTATCAGTACAGTTATCATATATTCAATAAGAGGTACATATACTTTTTCCTAAGAAATAATCTAATAAGGCCAATCAGATCCACCGAATTTAGCTAAATGTCAACCTTGGACCACTAAAGTCAAAAGTTTACAAATGAGGAGAGAGAGGTTAAAACACTTACGTTTTTCAGCTTCCTGCTATAATCGAGGTTCCTAAGTCAGGAAAGAAAAGAAGAGCATTATTAGAATAGCAGTTTCTTTGGTGTGGCTTTCCTTAAACATCTCTAGGACACATTTGCAAGAAGCACATAAGACAAAAGCCAGAAGAATGTTGCTGGATTTTAAGGCCTCTGGCTGGTGGTTTCAGCTGTAGCACGAAATTGTTGAGAAAAAAAACCACAACAAAGAAACAAAACACAAACAAACACAGGGCCAGGTAGGCCTGAAGTTGTGCAGTATACCAGGAAAAGGTGGATGATGAGAATTCTGCTTAAAATTGGGAGTGCTTATACTTGAAAATGCATGCATAAGAAACAGTGCTAGCCAAATATTTTTTTTCCTTTTTCTGCTCTGGCTACAAATTAGAATGAAAAATTGGCCATAAACAGAAAAGTATGCATGCTATGTCCAAATGTACACACAAGTGTTCCCAAATCCACATACATGTTTATTCCCTAACTAAAAACCACCAACAGTCCGACTAGTCACACCATGAAGTATCAAAATGTTTCCAAAGGTACTTGAAAAGTCCATGCATATATTGACATAGACATATTAGGAAAATGAATGTTGGATTTCTTTTCTCTGGTCATTTTGGTGGTGGGGGGAGGGAGGTGTAGAAAGTCCCTGGTTCAAACGAGCCAAGAACGCCTCAGAGCACTCAGTCACAATCACTTAGTTCCGGCCTAGTCTAACAAACTATGTATGATGGGTAGGCGGGCAGTTTTAAGTTGATATTGGAAGGACTAGTGAGTGCTAGTCCTGTAAAGAGGAGTCCAGGATCAGGGCTTCAGTTAGGACAAGCATTCACACAATTCACATTTGATCGAGAAAATGGTTTTATATTTTTGAGCTTAACAGCAACAACAAAAAAGGCATGCTATTCTAGTCTCAGATATCTGCTATAATTTTTTTCATTTAGCAACAGAGAGATGAAAAAAAAATCCAAGGAAGACCTAAAATATCTTACAACAAAAAGAATAGAGACAAAAGCGACCCTTTTCCTGCATTGACAGTAGAAGTTCTCTGGTTGAAATTGTGACTGGATGCTAAAAATTGTATGTGGCACACAGTAAGGCCTCATAGAAGATTTTAGAGTGTTTTCCACAAAACCACTCATTACTTGGAAATACTTCCCATTTTTCAGAGAGACTCCTGTCCCAGGAGCCATCCACGGCCTCTCCGCACTTCAGTGTGATGGTGTTGGTTCCCTGGAAGGTTTTTGCTATGTGCCCCTCTGCACTGTGCTTCCATGACCACCAAACTTGTCTGGTATTCATTACAGGTAGAGTTCATGCAGTTACACAGCCAATAATGTAATGACTTGCAGACTTTTACCTCTTAAAAATGTTTTCTTTTTTGTATATTCAAGTCACATTTGGGACAAAAAAAGGGTAAGAAAAATGGCCTACACTTCAAACTAGAGTGTTATTTTTTTTCCAAAGACAATTTTAGGAAATACAAATTTCCCCCCATGGGATCTATCCCTTATTCTGTATCTCCTGGCTGATGCTACTAACTCTCGTTAAAGTGATACTCCCCCTCTCCGCTGTAGGCTGATCACCTCTGAGAAGGGGAGCCATTGAGTTACAATGGCGATGCTGGATCATTCGAGCAACAAAGTCCACACTTTAAAAACTAGTCCTTGACCCATGCCAAATTAAAGCAGAGTCACCTGTGAAAACATGGTGACGCTGACAGCATATTTATCTCATGTTCCACTCCAACAGTCCTGCTAAAGCCAGAAGCAATGCCCTCTTAAGCGCCACAAATTAATTTGCAAAGTAACTTTAAGTGTAAGCTCTTTATGATTTGCTAAATGCCGACCCAGTGAGACAATGTCTCTGCATAAGGCTTCCAAGTTGAATGTCACCATTGCCTATGGATGGCTGCTCCCACTGCACTTGCCCTTCAGCACGACCCGCCAACCTCACGAGGCTCTTGGCCTTTTCTTTCAAGCATCAAAGGCTTCCTCTTCCTTGGTCTTTTTCTGCTTTTCCTCCACCTTGAACATCCAGCAAATCTCTTCAGAGCTGATGCTTCTGTCTCATTCTTGTCTCTGTCTGAATCCCCAGCTAAAACCCTTCAGGTGGGCTATCCTTGACCCTCTCAGATGGGCTATCCTTGACACCTTCAGAGGGACTATCCTTGACCCTTTCAAATGGGCTATCCCTGACCCTTTCAAATGGGCTATCCTTGACCCCTTCAAATGGGCTATCCTTGACTCCTTCAGAGGGGCTATCCTTGACCCCTTCAGAGGGGCTATCCTTGACCCCTTCAGAGGGGCTATCCTTGACCCCTTCAGAGGGGCTATCCTTGACCCCTTCAGAGGGGCTATCCTTGACTCTTTCAGATGGACTTACTACTATCTTTCCTATCTAGCCTTTTATGGTTCTCTCTGTGCTCTCCCTCTTGTGATTATTTTCTTTCTTACAATTTATTTCTAAGTTTTTGACACTGTAGAGGGAATTCAATAGGAACAGATGATTCTGGTCATCTTGCGTGTGCATTTTTCTCCCAGAAGGTGAAAATATCTCACACATAGTATCTACTCAGTAACGATTTGTTCAGTGGATGAATGAAGGTGTGGAGACATAAGGGAAGGTGATGAGAAATGAGTGCCCAAGGATTACAGTGGACAAGTGAAGGGCAAGCTGAAAAGGAGAGAAACAGAGAAAAGAATGCAGAAAGTGAGGTGGAGGAGAGGATAAAGGGAAGGGAGGTGGGAGGGAGAGGAAGGAGAAAAGAACAAAGATGGAAAGACCGGAAGGACAAGAAAAGGTGAAGATGCTGCCATACAAAGGGACTGTGACCATTTGAGACTGGTCTATGTGACTTTCTCCTGGTGGGTTGCTTCCGGTGCCTCTGAATTAATGCATTTCTTTAGAATATGATTGCCTTGCTTTCCCAGGAGTGCAATGACCGAGCTTTACCTAAAGTCACATCTGGAAGACCGTTTGATCCAGTCGCTTGCACTCTGTGGACGAGAACACGGTGCTAAGGAGCTCAGCAAGTCACAGACCGAGCGAGCGCCAGACCTGGGGCTGAACCCAGATTTTGGATGCCTTAATTGTCGTAGACAAGCAGTGAAGAAGATCTGAGTTTTTGTTTTAGATTCTAAAACCAACAGGCCTCGGAATTCTCCTGATCTGGTAATTTATTGTTTAAAGGTAGCTCAAAATTGATGATGATGATGATGAAAAGGATGAGGAGGAGGAGGAGGAGGAGGAGGAGGAGGAGGAGGAAGAGGAGGAGGAAGTGGAAGAAAAGTGTTAGAGTAGAGCACCAGAGTAAACTTTCCTTCACCTTCCCCAAGGAGTGTGTGACTAATTATTATTACCTATGGCATTGCACAGTTGCTATTGTTTCTGGTCATTTGCCATGCAGGTGAGACTAGAAATGTGAGTTTAGCTAGAACCTAAAATCATTTCCCAAAATGAATAAGAACTTCACGGAGTTAAGATTTAGCTCAGTAACAAATGGAGCATGTGATGGTTATCCTGAGGCCTGTGGAGGCTTCTCTAGTGCAATATTGTAACTTTTGTTATTTTTTTCACTTATACTCTCTTTCCGTGAGAAATACTGAAGAACAGCCCATTAAAAGCACAGATGTAACTTCACCTCTTCCGTCATGGCTCACTCTCCTTGTCCCCAGTCATGAATCACAGAACCCACAGTAAACTCCATTCCTTCATTCACTCAGTAGTTTCAAGTTTCCCATCGTCATAACTAGAAAATCAAGATACAGAAGCTGAGCAAAAAGGACAGCTCTGAATTGTGGCTTCTCTCCTTTCTGTTGTTCTATGATAAAATGGTGATGCCCTAAATTATCAAATTGCAGATCCCTCTACTCTGTTCAGCTTATTGGGTTTTATTGTTATTCTTATTTGTAACAGGGCTGTCCTTATGAAGCCTGGTTTGCTTGGTGTTTGCATTCCATAGACCAGGCTGGCCTTAGACTTGTAGAGATCTTCTTGCCTCTACTGCCAACACTGGAATTACAGGATATGCCACCACACCTGACTTTTAGATACTTTTCAAAAGGTGTATTTTTTTAATTATGTGTATATGTGTATGTTGTATATGGGCATGAGTTATGACTGTAGCTAGCCCATGGAGGCTAAAAGAGAGACAGAACTGGAGTGATAGGAGGTTCTAAGTTGTCTGATGTGGGTGCCGGGAATCGAACTGTGATCCTCTACCAGTGTTCCCTCCTCTTAACCACTGCACCATCTCTCCAGCCATAGAAGAGACTCCAGCTTTTTGCTCAGCCATTCTCATGCCACATACTGTTTGAATAAAATGACAAATGTGTAATATGACGTTACAAGCTCTGCAGAATCCCTGGGCTACAGACAACCTATGTTTGCCGTCCTATAAGGATGAATCTTCTTATTCTAGTCATGAGCTATCTCTTTATTCAGAAACTCATCCTATCGCAAGAATTCTTTGGCCTCAAATATGGTTCACTAAATAGATACAGGCAGAAATGGCCAAAAGGCCAATGATCCATCTCTGAAAAGCTTAATCACTGTCACATTCGAGAAAATGGCTACAAATGTAAATGAAGGAGCCAGCTCGCCACCATCAAATGCCTTCTCTACATCATCAACAGTGCGCACAATCTGTTCACCTCCTGTGCAGTCTGCCAAAAGCCTATTCAGCTGCCCCGTTGGAGCCAATAAAATGGATGCTGTCTAAGGCACACAGATTTTGTACATATTTCTCTGTAGCCTCCCTGCTAAACCTTACTTAACATTTTCTAAAATTCTGGCTCTATGTGTATTTGAAAAGTTCTATCAGCTCAGAATCGGGGTTCTGCACAGAGGGGCAGGACACTGGGTTGTGAGCTCAGAATTGGGGTTCTGCACAGAGGGGCAAGACGCTGGGTTGTAAACGCTTGAGTTTTTGCTTGTGCATTTTTACTTTATTAGGTATACCTAATCTTCTACTTCTTAGAACTTACAACATCCTCCCAAAAGTGCACATCAAAATAGCAAGGGTTTCCTTTAAACATAAATCAGGCGTTACTCACTTGGCAGTGACCCTGTTGGAAGTATCCTGGAGGTCACTTGGGTCGAAGAGTTGAGATTCCTTAAGTCCAAGCTCTTTACAGCCTCTCAAGAATAAGATGGTATTGTCCTAGAAGAAAGAAAAGGAGCCCAAGTATTATTTTAGATTATCTTTGTGAGTCAGTTTCATTTTGGTAGTAGTCCACTTTGCTGTCAGGGTGCCAGCCATCAGGACATGTCACCCAATGAAATTGCAGTTAGGAAATGCCAGAATAAATAGACACTTCAGATTTCCCAAACCCTAGCTAGCCACTGCCAAATTCAACTTTCCCTTTAGCTTGATACATTTGTAAACAACTGCAAGTCAAATGTTGCTACAAAGGGAATTTAGCATCTTAAGGAACAGTACTTTAAAAGGCCAGGTTATTTTCATTGCTTCTAAATGCCTTATTTCCATGCCTTATTTCTTAGAACTTGGTATCAATAGATATAATATAAAAAATATAATTAAAACTGGGTAGAGAATGGTTTAGTTGGTAGAGTGCTTGGCTAAGCAAGCATGATGACCTGGGTTCTGATTACTAGCACCTAAGGAAAAAACCAGGCATGACAGCACATGCCTGAAATCCCAGCACTAGGAAGCTGGAGACAGAAAAGGTCCTAGTGCTTGCTGGCTAGGTTGTGTAATTGGTAAGCTCCAGGTTCAATAAGAGACCTTGTCTCAAAAAATAACATGGACAGTATGTTCATTTGAATGAGAATGGTCCCCATAGGCTCACATATTTGCATGGTTAGTCCCTAGTGGTGGAACTGTTAGGGAAGGAGCAAGGGGGTGTGACTTTATGGGAGGAAGTGTGTCACTGTGGGGTGGACTCTGAAGCTTCAAAAGACTCCCACCATTCCCAGTGTGCTTTCTCTGCCTCCTGTTTGTGAATCAAGATGTTCACTATCAGCTCTTCCTCTTCCATGCCTTTGCACTGCCATCACGGACTCTAACCCTCTGAAACCATAAGCCCAATTAAACAGGTTCTTTTATAAGTTTTGTTGGTCAGGCTGTTTTATAACAGTAATATTAAAGTACACAAACACACAGCACACACACAAAACAAGACATTGTTAAACTAGAAAACTTGAAAAGGTTTTATTGCCTAAGGTGTTCTTATCCTCACATTTTTCTTATTAATTGATTTAAAAATATCCTTTGTGGAATTTACACCCTTCACAGTCACTATGGGTTACACCTTCATACATTCTATGGGCTCTCACTGAAAATACCTTTTTAATGGAATGTAAGATTAATTAAAAGAATAAAGAAGTCGAGTCCCTCCATCTATTTCTTGCCACATTTATTCCATTACTTCTCCTTAATGGTTAGGAGGAGGAAGGGAACAGAAGCTCAAAGGGTATGGGAGAAGAGTGGGGTTAGCCGAGGCTCAAGTTATAATGGTATGCATGAAGATATGACGAAACCCACTACTTTGCTTGCTAAATGTTGAAGAAGAAGGAAGAAGAGGAGGAGGTGGAAGATGAAGAAAAAGGGGATGAAGAGGAAGAGGAGGAGGAGAAAAGGGGGAAGGGGAAGGGAAAGGTGAGGGGAAAGGCAAAGAAGAAGGAGGAGGGAGGAGGAAAAAGGAGGAAGAGGAGGGAGGAGGAGGAGGAAGAAGAGAAAAAGTAAAAAGAAAGAAAAGAAAGGAAAAAAAGAACTCTAGATTTGTTTGGGAAGGAAAATGAGAGGCAAGAAATGCTTCTGAAAACAGTGCAAAGACCCTCCTCAGGAGGACATTCCCTGGCAGCCATAGATTGACTTTGAACCCAGAAAGGGGCAGGATCGGCTGACAATCACAATCATAATTAAGGAGGGTGCTATCTGGGCTGCCCATCTGTTAGGGGTCTTAAGAATAAATGAATGGTTCTGAAAGTGAATGCAAATTGTGGGTCATCCTTTGAAGCCCCCAGGCCAACTGGTCAACAGATGTATTGCTGCAAATCTCTAACGGTTCTCCTCTTGAGAGACTTCCAAAGGCACTAATTGACTCTATCAGTTTGGAACAAAACAAAAAAACAACAAAAACCCTACAGGACAAGAAGGAGTGTCAGTTCCAGGAGTCACACCAATGTAAAAACCTCTGGATGCTAAAAGAAACTACTCTAAACACCTGAACTCAGCTAGGCGATTACCAGGTTTGCCCCAGGTATTCAAAGAGAATGGCAAAGATAGTATTATTAATTACCCAGTGTGTAGGCAGGACTCTCAGGCCTCTGAGAATCACATCTTCAGATGTACACACCCTAGGTAATCTCCTCTTGAGAACAAGTGAAACCAATGGCCCTGATAAGGTTATGGCTTTAAACAATCGCCTCTACGTTAACTGAGAGAAAGATTATCTGATTGGCAGTGATGGAAATAGGGATCTGTAAAAGAGAAGGTGTCACAAGAGTTCCTGCTGGCTATGAACACCACAGAACACCACAGCTGCAAAAGTTCAAATTCTGTTAACTGCCGTGAGCTTGAAATAGACGTGGAAGATGTGCAGGGTCTCAGCCCTACCAGCATCTTGATTTCAGCCCTGTGATATTCTGAGCAAAGAGCCCAGTGTCACCCTATCTGAGCATCTAATCTATAAACACTGTGAGGCAATAGATGGGTATTGCTCTGAGATATTAATGGTAATTTTTGATGTGGCAATAAAAAAATTAACATGCTTGGGCCCTTAAAGAGCAATTGTAGACAGTCATTGACCTTTCTATAGCCTGGATTTTGGGACCAACATCATTCCAAGGGCTGCATTTGTTACATTAATTTATTTAAATCCCCGCACTCCTTATCCTCAAGGGACAGATGTGTGATCTGCAGCCTAGAACAATTATGCAGTGGTTCAAAGTTGCAATCAGCAAAAGACTTAGGATGCAAAGCAGAGGGGCATTTCTGATGAATCCAAGCATGAAATTCGAGGTCAGTACCGAAGGGCAGCGGGGCTATGGGGCATGGAGCTGGTCAGAGGGTCTTACAGATGCAGAAAGCAGGCTGCAGGAGTCAGTGGCTGCAAGTCTGAGAACTGAGTACAGGTGGCAACCGGAAGGAGGCGGTTGGGAGCAGGGCTAGAAGGAAGTCAACAGTATGCAGATAAGATTTAAGATGGGAGAGCAGTGGGAAGACATGGCAGCCTCTTCTAAAGCCAAGACACCTTCACCCCAGTGTGTTTTCCATCTTAAATGAGGCTCTGGGCTTCTTGTGGAGGCAGAAATGCCACCATTCACAAGCCCCACACCACTTTGCACATGGCTTCTTTTGGCCATCTGTGCACTGGCCACAGCGGATCCGATGCTGTCCGGTTCCTGGGCAGTCTCTTCTTGAGTCACTTTCCGAGTTGTTTAAATAATTAAATTTAGTAGCTCACACCTAACTCCCGAGTTTTCATTTTCTGAACAATATATTTTTTCACTACAAAATTTTGTCCTAGGAATAAATAAATCAAGGGAAGGATAAAATAGTAGGAAATACATCAAGTCCCTTTTAAAGGACCCAGATTTTTCAATTTATACTCGGACCACCCTGTTATTAAATTAATTAGCCAATTACTTTCATTTTATATTTTGGGACAGGGTCTTATTCTATGACCCAACCCAGTCTTGAACTCCCTATGTAGGCTACCCCAGCCTTAAACTCATGGTAATCCTCCTGCCTCAGTCTCCCAAGTGATGACATACCAAGCATGAGCTACCATGACCGTCCAGGGAATGACTTTAACTACATCTTTCCTTTAAATAAAGTTACTTTGCCTTAAGATTTCAGTTTTCATTTACAAAGTAAATTATTTTCAATTCCTTTCCGATTCCTTTTTCAGTTTTTTGTGTGTGCATGTGTGTGTGCGTGTGTGTGTGCGTGCATGTGTTTGTGTGTATGTGTGTATGTATGTGACCACACAAGCATTTCTATTTTTCAGAGAACTTGAGTTCATCAACACAACAACCCATTTGCTTGTTTCCAGATCTTTCTCAGTCTCAGAACATGTACCTTTCCTCAAATTGGACCATGGGGCTTCCCAGAAAGCAAAACTTAGATGCCTTTTCCCTAGAAGAAAGATCATGACCTCTTCAGCAAACCTCCATCTCCCAAAATGTTTACATTACAGTTCATAACGGTGGCAAAATTACAATTGTGAAGCAACAGTGAAAATAACTTTATGGTTAGGAGTCATCACAACATGAAAAACTGTATTAAAGGGTTGCAGTGTCAGGAAGGTTGAGAACCACTGTACTAGAACTTGGGGATTCCCACTGTAGAGGCAGTCAGAGAGGCATGGCACTTGAGGATTCTTAACTGGTCCATTTATATGAAAGACTGTTAGAAAAGCATGGAGAGAGAAAGCAAAGGGGTCAGTAGTCCCGGCATTTATTATGTAAAAGTTGCTGGAGTCGTTTTGAAAACTGGGAAAGTACTTTGTCAACTCAAGACTCAAAACGCACCAGTGAATACTCTTCGCGGAGGCTTCAACCTTCAAATTTTCCTTACTCAAGTCAAGAGAGCAGGTTTCAGATCAGTGACTGTTTTAGCAAAGAGGAAGACTGATTTGGTGGGCACGCGTAACATGGATGAGACATCTGTAGCCTGTGTAGGCTGAGCACTTACCCCAGCTGTCCCTGCTCTGTCTAAGCAGCGGGACATATCGTTCATCATCCAGACAACCATATGGGTCAGGCAGAACTGCCCCCATTTCCCAGATGAGCAGTTGAGGCACAGAGCAGTTATGCATCATACAAAGTCAACCAGCTAGACCCATGTCCCAGCTAACCCATCATGAACATGGAAGTGGGGTTTCTTCAGAGGAACAGACTCTAAGCCCCCAAGTAGCAATTCTTTTTCCACCTCTCTGGTTTCTAGTTGTTTATGCCTATTCATCCATCCTGAAATCCCCCTCCTTCTTTCCATCTTTCCCTCCTTGCCTTCATACCTCCCTCCCCTTCTCCATTTTTCTCTTTCCTGCTTTGCCTCTCACCAGAATATGTCCTCCCTTCCTCCCTCCCTCCCTCCCTTTTCTCTTTATCTTTCCTTCCCTTTCTCCCCCCTCACTCTGTCCTGTCTCTTTCTGTGTCTCTCCCATTCTTTTTGGCTCTGAAACTCTTAAAGAT